AGAGAGAGCAGAGAGCGAGAGAGAGAGAGAAATAGAGAACTAGAGAGGGCGTGAGACCCCAGAGAGAGACCAGAAAGTGAGAGAGACCAGAAAGTGAGAGAGACCAGACAAAGAGACAGTAGAACATAGAGCAGTACAGCACAGTACAGGCCCTTCGGCCCACGATGTTGTGCCCAACTTTTACCCCAATCCTAAGGTCTATCTAACCTCCACCCCTACCTTATACTATCATCCATATGCCTATCTAATAGCCGCTTAAATACCCCTAATGAGGCCGACTCCACTACCCTCTCCGGCAATGCAGCAGAGAGAGAGAAAAGAGACCAGAGAGACAGAGTGACAGAGAGAGAAATAGAGACCCAGAGAGGGGGAGAGACCCCAGAGAGAGACCAGAAAGTGAGTGAGAGACCAGAAAGTGAGAGAGAGACCAGAGAAAGAGACAGTAGAGAGTGAGAAAAGAGAACAGAGAAGGAGTGATAGAGAGAGAGGCCAGAGGGAGACCAAAGAGAGAATAACCCCGTACTTTCTCTCTGTCTCTCTTTCACTCTCACTCCCTCCTGCTCTCTCTGCCTCACTCCCACTTTGTCTCTCACATGCTCACTGATTTATACTCTATATCTCTCTATCTCTGCATCCGTTTCTCTGTTTTTCTCTCTCTGTCTGTCTTTCTCTGTACATCTATCTCAGTCTTTGTTTGTCTGTCTGTCTGTTTCTCTCTCATCCTCCCTCCCCCTTGTCCCTCCCTCCACCAAAACCCCACCACCAACCACCAACCACCACCCACAGCCCCCAGTCCCTTACGGTGAACGTTGAGTCGCACGGTGCTCTCCTTCCCACTCGGCAGTGCCTCGTTCCTCGCTTGGCAGCTCAGCTCACGCCCTATATCGAGCTCGGAGGGAGAGAAGGGCAGAACGCTGATCGTGTACTCGCGTTTCCCATCATCCATCAGGCCCTGGGGGGGAGGGGAGAGCACAGGGTTAGAGTGGGGAGAAAGAGAGAGAGAGAGAGCACGGGGTTACTGTGGAGAGAGAGATAGAGCACGGGGTTAGTGTGGGGGGAGAGAGAGAGAGAGCACGGGGTTACTGTGGGGGGAGAGAGAGA